TATTTGTTGTGTTGTTCTTTAATTGTTCTTAATTTATCACACACAATGTCTTCTTTTACTTTATGCTAAAGACAGTTCTACCGAAATTATTGCAATTCTGGAGCCTCGTGCTGATGACGGTGTTACAGTTTATTTTCTCTTTAAACCCGGAATGATCTTTTAAACAAACTGGTTGATTTTTGTCTCTAATGTTGTCTTAAATTAAGTATGAATTTTATAGCGCAGTATCTGTATCTAGTATGTTGGTTAACGATTGTATTACTATTTAATCTTCAGGAGCTTTCAGAAGTGTAGGATTCTTTTTGTCTTATCAATATTTTGTTTTTATTTATAGGCCTATAAAATAGTTATATCATTGATAAAGTTGTACTGGTACTTAATTGTCATAGACATTAATATTTGAGAAAATATCATTAACTTCTTTAATTTTCGATTTGATAAATATTGGATAATACAATTCATTTGCAGATACAAAAATATCTGAAGGTGACTACACAATCATGGCAAGTGAAGAAGATCTATCAAAATATTTTACAGGTAAAGTATTTTTATTTTCTTTGTATGTAGAAACAGTGATTTAATTAGCAATGTCATTGTCTTTAATGGTTTGGTGATATCGAAATCCTTGTGTCGAAACGATATGTAGTGTTTTTTATTGCATAGTGGAAATGTTTGAGAGGTTAGTGGTGGTAACTTATAGTTATAATGTTTTATGTATCTTAAATTAAGTTAAATAGAGAATGAAATGTTAATGTAAACGTGTTTTGTTACCTGTACAGGTAAACATGAAGTGCAAGAATGTCTTCAAGGTCAACGTGAGACAGATCTACCCTCACACCTGGCAAACTGTGAAAAAAATCCTATCCATAAAATTTTTATACCTGTAAATCAGTTTAGTCTTGAACATTTTCCTTCTGATTACCGTGACAATGACCTGTATCACTTTACAAAAGGCCTAGCTGACCTAACGATCAGGATAGCCGTTAAGTACACCAGTCCAGATAGACCAGAGTTTTTACCAGGGACTACAGATCCATATCCTGGCTACAACATCAAGGGACAGAACTCACTGAGGACGGGGACTGGAAAGGTGTTGTGGGTGAAGAAATACACAGAGGGAGAAGACGATGACATGAGTTGTCCTTGTCCTGAATGTGACTTTTCAGACACACCCAGCAAAGTGTGGTGGGGGGTTGTCGCAGTGACAGCCAGACATGTCATTTTTAATGAGAGTGAGGCGAGGCAGTCTACCTGTAGATTATGGTTTGATGATAATCAAAGTCCTGTGTTAAAGATCTATGGTTCGGCGGTGGGTGATTCAAATACTAAAGAAGACTTGTGTTTTTTGTATTGTGTGTCTCATGACTTAGACATAGGTGATAAACTAAAGAAGATGGTGGACCGGAGTAAAGGTCTATGGAAGAAAGTCAGTGAAAAATACAAGAGTCGTAAACATGTAGAAAAGCTGACCATTATAGTGTCACATCCTCATGGCTGTGTTAAGCAGGTCTCTGTTGGTCACTGGGTACACAGGCAGGTGGTGGAGGGTAGACGGACAAGGTACACGTACACAACGTGTACCTGTCCAGGCAGCTCTGGGGCTCTGGTCTACAGACTGGGGTGTAGCTGGGGGTCTTTCCATCCCCACATTGGAGGTACCTCTAACCCTAATTCTAGTCGATTAAATTATAGTGGAGTGTGGTTTGATAAAGAAATATGATTGCTTCTTCAGTGTGCGGCCTTTGACCACAGGTGCTTTAACCATAGGGGGTTTGACAATAGGTGGTTTGACCACAGAGGGGCTTTGACCATAGGGGCTTTGACCATAGGGGCTTTGACCATAGGGGCTTTGGCCACAGCGGGGTTTTGACTATAACGGGGCTTTTCCCATAGGGGCTTTGGCCATAGAGGGTTTGACCACAGGTGTTTTCTCAGCATAAGGTCCTTTATCAAAGGTGGTTTGTCATGGGGTGGTGAGTGGGGGGGGGGGTCTTCGATCACAAGTGGTTTGTCTGTATCGCAAAAAAACAGATGTATTTTAGTTTTTTGTCTTTTCTAGAATGTAAACAATCATAGCGTCAGTTGGTAGTCCCTGTTTATAGAAATAGGAAAGTTACAAAACTACACAGAAAAGACAAAAAAGTTTATTTGTTTGATTGGAAAGAGAGAAAGTAATTCGTTACTTCTTAAGCAATTCTTGTACTTAATACGTGCCAATGTAAATAAACAATTTGTAGTAAAGATTTCTTAGTTTGTTTTCAATTGCTGGCTTTCAATATAGACTTCTTAATATATATATATCACTTAAACAGTGATTGATAGAGGTGTCCTTTACATGTGTTTATATGTTAGGTTACTATAATCAAATAAATAATAAACAGTATGAGGCTTATATTTGTTTCAAATTTTAACTGATTATATGTTAACTGCATTTAGAACGAATTACTAAAAAAAAGTGGAAAATATAAACAAACACATACTCAATCTTTATAATGATGAAAAGTTAAGGCTGTTGAGCATATTGCTGACCATGCTATTTCTTTATAAGCCCACGTCGCAGAAACAGAAACTAAAAATAAAATTTAAAAAAAATCAGCTGAATGGTACATGTAATGTCTGTTTTCTAGAAACAGGAAATAAAGTAAAGTAACAATTCCAGATGTTTGAATTCCTAAAACATTAATAATTATCCAGTATAAAAGTATATGCCTTCTAGCTGCAATAAAATGGTTTTTTATCTTATGATTTGTAAGATTCCCCTGTAGTCTAGGTCAAGTCCTAAGATACAGCTTCATGAAAACAACATGGAATGAAAACACGAACAAATATTTCATCTAAACTAAGTATAAATGATTCAATAGTACCATCGAATACCTGTTGATTTATCATAGTTTATTAGCAGCTTATTGATGTCGAATTCCAGAGTCTTAGACAGATTACGAGCTTAGTCAATTCTTATTCCACCTTTCTTCACTAACGAACTCCCGACCCATAACTGTTATCATACCACTCATTGTTTTTTTATCTTTCAGTTTAATAGAATTATTAAAAGTATTTCTTTATTAGTGTTTCGCTGTTTTCAGTTAATTGTAGAAGTAGTAGGCCTATTACTATTAGACATTTAGTATCAACTGTGGTTTTTTTTTTAAAGTGTATTGAGAAATGTATTTTGAAATATAAAATCCTTTACATTTTTTGTGAATGAACAAGTGTTTTAAACGCATTCGTGATATATTAAAAACAATAACACATTTGAATTTTTAATACTAAAAAAAACCTATAACCAACATAAACTACGTTAGTTTTTTTTTTAAATTCATGTAGTACTTACTTTAACCAAACTAAAAGAAGTGAATTGTTGCAAAGAAATTGAAGACATGAAAATAATGGAAGGAATATAGGAAAGCATAGAAATGAATAGAAAGATGTTATAAATGACCTTGGCTTCACTGAGAGTTGGAAAAGGCACACAAAAAAGCAAGTAATTAAAAGTTAGTGAATGTTAACTTGAAAGTAAATTATAAAGTAAAGGAAAATTATGTTCTTAGATTTAATATACATACAATAAGATTTCCTTTAAAGAACAAAATAGATTAAAAGTCAAAGATGCATTTAATTACAGACTTTTACATTATAACTTGTATTGAAATATATTTTAGTCTACACAATAATATGATTTATATTTAAAGCAACAAGTTTTGGACAAAATTTTTTTAAACAAAATAACTAAAGCTCGTCCTTTCTATTTAAAGAAGCTCTTTTAAAAAAATTAATGTTGCACCTCCAGGTATTTTAGGAGGAGCCCCTCAATTTCCATAGCCCATATCTGAAAGAATAACCAGCTTGCGTTTCTCTTCGTCACACATGTTCAGAAGACCCTGATCCCCTCCTTTAATAACCTGTCCAGTTCCTAGAGTAAATACAAAAGGCTCTTTTCTGGGAATGCTGCTGTCAAACTCAGTACCATCTTCCAACTTTCCTGTGTAATGCATATGCAACACATCTCCTTTCCTAGATTTGATTTTACATTTTTCTGGATCAACTCTTTTTTAATTCCGATTTGCAGTTTCTTGTCTTCGTTTTCAGCGCTGATATTTTCAACAAAAACTAAAATTAAAACAAGCAAACACTGCAAATAAATGAAAGTATTCGAGAGGTGCATGGTTTTTTTAACACTTTTCAGTTGTGATTCAGTACTAAATAGGAAACTAGATCTAGTCTAGATAGATCTTATATTTTCTGATTAGATCTAGAATCTAGATATAAATTAATAAATGTAGTCTAGATTCTAGATCTAGATTCTAGCAGTTATAGAAATCAATAACTTCCGGCACACATAGGCTAACAACTGTGTTAACGTTATATTGCATTCGAATATTACCACAATGTAATATCCTTTAACTTGTAAGCTTTAAACCTATTATTTTAACTAAGAAAGACCTTTTCTTACTTTCAGGCATGGTGTAAATATAAATAATCATCAAAATCTTCTTCTCAATATTGTCATTCCTTTGTTGTTTTTATACAATATCTTCGTGGATTTTTAGAGGAAAAACTGTCTTTTTACTTTCTCGTATATACGAAGTATAGAGAAAGTCTTGTAATCGTGCAAAAAAAGGAAATCGAGATTTTACACCTCACTGATACGGAAAAACATAATTTTGCGATCTTGTCCGTATGTCTGTGTGTTTGTGTGTGTGTGTGTGTGTGTGTCTGTCTGTCTGTCTGTGTGTAAACACGATAACTTGAATAACGTTATAGCTAGGTTGATGAAATTTCATATATAAGTATTTTGTCAAAATCGTAGATCCGTATCAACTATTGTGCGATTTCCGATAACCGGAAGTGGTCCTTTTTCTCCTTTTTATTTTTTTGAAAGCCTATAACTTGAGTACTATTTCAGACAGATAAATGAAATTTCACACGTAAGTTAAAGATCTAATTCTCTACCTTCTATCAAATTTTGAGTAATTTCCGTTGACCGGAATTACTAACTTACGCTATTTCCGATTTCTCAAAATACGTATGTAAATTTATAAAGTACTAACAATATTGCGCACTATTATGCACATTTTGTTTTGGCGTTCGCTTGGTGCGCAATTCTTTTTTCTATGAGATTCTATTCTATTTTTAAAAGTTTAAGTAATTAAAAATCATGTCTATATTCCAAGTTATATAAGAATATTCGAGAAAGTTTGGGAAGATCACTCCCGGTTTATTTTGAAAGATAAGAAAATAATAAAAGAAAAAAACTCTTTAAATCATTTTGAGTGATATTTCCCTTTAATTAACGTTATATAAATTTTAATTTATATTATTACGTATCAGCTTATTTACAAAATCATTTGCTATTTAAAAAAAATAATTAATAATATTTTAACTTAGTAATTGGTCAAAGTGTAAAACAAATCTTAAATTTAAAAATTTTTATAAAATTTAGAGATATCTTTGTATCGTGAAAACTTAATAGTTCTAAACAATTTGGAAATTATTAAGTAGGGTATATACAATTTTGCCAATCGAGAAGAAGCAAAAAACTATTGCTTGTAAAATATCTAGAAAGTCTGAACGAATGTGTTGCCTTAGAAGTATGTGAAACTAGAGTTATTAGTTCTGCCACACGCTTCAAAGCAAAGATCGAACGGACATACATTAAACATTTAAAAATAATGATATTAAAATCTCCAATGTAATTTTTTTGTCATCAAGCAATCACATCTGAAGAAAAATAAGTAGTACATTTAAAGTACATTTTGAAAAATAAAATTGTGTGTAATCATATTTAAATTAGCATAACTAGCAAAGAAAGCTAGCTATAAAACAAACGTTAGTTTAAAAAAAAAAAAAAAAAAGTTGCAATAAAAGGCAACATTGGCTGTGTATTGGTACAATAAATGTGTAGGACATTATATACAGTTTAATTTTTTATTCAAAATTTAAATGTCCTGCATTATTTAATTTTAATAATTAAAACAAAATAAACATTGTTTTATTTTAAAAAAAACACTTCGCATCATTTTAAAATTGTACATTGGATATCATAGCAAGCAAATGAATAATAAAAATATGTGTAGTCTAACATTATAACATACATTTCAATTACATATAGGCCCTACTTTCTTGAAATATAAAAACTCAAATAAAATATAATATGGGATGTTAAAACAACGCATTAAATAAAGATTGTTCATCATTTTGTGATTGGACTTGTCTACGTCAGCAAACTACATTTGATATTTTACATGACCATGACCATGACCATGACCATGACCATGACCATGACCATGACCATGACCATGACCATGACCATGACCATGACCATGACCATGACCATGACCGTGACCATGACCGTGACCGTGACCATGACCATCGACCCATGACCATGACCATGACCATGACCATGACCATGACCATGACCATGACCATGACCATGACCATGACCACCATGACCATGACCATGACCATGACCATGACCATGACCATGACCATGACCATGACCGTGACCATGACCGTGACCGTGACCGTGACCGTGACCGTGACCGTGACCATGACCATGACCATGACCATAACCATAACCATAACCATAACCATAACCATAACCATAACCAAAATCATAACCCATACCAACCATAACCATAACCATACCCAAACCATCACCATAACCATAACCATAACCATAACCATAACAATAACCATAACCATAACCATAACAATAACAACAATAACAATAACAATAACAATAACAATAACAATAACAATAACAATAAACAATAACAATAAACAATAACAATAACAATAACAATAACAATAACAATAACAATACAATAACAATAACAATCAACAATACAATAACAATAACAATAACAATAACAAAAACAATAACAATAACAATAACAATAACAATAACACATAACAATAACAATAACAATAAACAAAAACAATAACAATAACAATAACAATAACAATAACAATAACAATAACAATAACAATAACAATAACAATAACAATAACAATAACAATAACAATAACAATAACAATAACAATAACAATACAATAACAATAACAATAACAATAACAATAACAATAACAATAACAATAACAATAACAAAATAACAATAACAATAACAATAAAAATAACAATAACAATAACAAATAACAATAACAATAACAATAACAATAACAAAAAACAATAACAATAACAATAACAATAACAATAACAATAACAATAACAATAACAATAACAATAACAATAACATAACAAAACAATAACAATAACAATAACAATAACAATAACAATAACAATAACAATAACAATAACAATAACAATAACAATAACAATAACAATAACAATAACAATAACAATAACAATAACAATAACAATAACAATAACAATAACAATAACAATAACAATAACAATAACAATAACAATAACAATAACAATAACAATAACAATAACAATAACAATAACAATAACAACAACAACAACAACAACAACAACAATAACACAATAACAATAACAATAACAATAACATAACAATAACAATAACAATAACAATAACATAACAATAACAATAACAATAACAATAACAATAACAATAACAATAACAATAACAAACAACAACAACAACAACAACAACAACAACAACAACAATAACAATAACCATAACCATAACCATAACCATAACCATAACCATACACCATAACCATAACATAACCATAACCATAACCATAACCATAACCATAACCATAACCATACAACCATAACCATAACCATAACCATAACCATAACCATAACCATAACCATAACCAATAACCATAACCATAACCATAACCATAACCATAACCATAACCATAACCATAACCATAACCATAACCATAACCATAACCATAACCATAACCATAACCATAACCATAACCATAACCATAACCATAACCATAACCATAACCATAACCGTAACCGTAACCGTAACCGTAACCGTAACCGTAACCGTAACCGTAACCGTAACCGTAACCGTAACCGTAACCGTAACCGTAACCGTAACCATAACCATAACCATAACCATAACCATAACCATAACCATAACCATAACCATAACCATAACCATAACCGTAACCGTAACCGTAACCGTAACCGTAATCACAAACACCGTCACCGTCACCATCACCATCATTGTCACTGTCGTTTTCATCAATCAAGGATGTCACCTTTATTTGACAATTTCTATCTTTCCTCTCCCACTCCCTACTGTCTCACATCGTAACGAAAAGCCAGACCCCACATAAAAAAACACGTCACAACTCAGACATGTTTTTATCTTTTAAAAACACCGATTTCGACTGAGCAACGTCTTACCACAGTATCCCTTCATATGCTTTTGAAACTACAATGTTTATTTCGCCATCAGTAGCTTGCTTCGATATTGGTGTTCAATCTAAGCATTACAAAATAAAAATAATGAGCGTTAATTGTTTTCAAGGGCTATATTAATTTACACAAGCGATTCAGCGGGCCACGGTCCTAGGTGTCAAATGGACTTTGTCCTTCCTATTTACACGGTTGATACGCCAATGATATCAGCCGACAATTTTCGGACAATTAATCCATTGTTTTTATGAATGTTTGAACGTCAGCTTCTATTGCGTTGTTATATTTAGTATCACTTTTGACTCTGTTAGTTAAGCTAACGTAAGAGGCCGACTTGTTTCTACATAAAAAAATCGCTTACGTCATCTGCCCCATCCCATGTATGGTATCCGTAAGAGATCGGCAGAGAAGGGTCATCGGGGTCAATGGGGTGTATATAGCTTTGGTCATGCTCATCATCTATTAGGTCACTCATTACAGGGATAGAAGGACTGCCTTGAAAGCTGCCTATGTGAATGTATTTTGGTTCAGAACTGTCGACAGAATGTGCTTCGCCATCTATGCTTTGATTTATATAGCTAATGTACCCGCCGTTCTGCATGTTTTGAATTTCGTTTTGGGCATTAATTCCATCTTTGTTGTTAGCTTCATCAACTGATGGAATGAGATAACCATACTTGTCTGCATTAAAGAATACATTATCATTACTTGTATTATTGAGATTGCCATCAGAAAACGAAAAATATTTGTTTTCTTCTGTACAGATAGAACGTCTCACCAAGGAGTTGCAAGCTTTTATTGTAAGCGTCGGTTCTGTCTCGGTTCTAATTTCATTAAGGTATTCATTGAATTCTCCTATTATGTTTACAGAGTCTAATTCGGAATGTGATGCTTCGAATTCGTTTGTAAATTCTACATCAGACGTTTGAATAAGCCTAAAAAAATTATTGTCGTTTTGTTCACTAGTTTCATTCGTAGGTCCATCTTGAAAATCACTACTAATGCTAGAATTCATTAAATGTATTGAAATATTCTTGAAACTGTGTTCTGTATTTTTGATAGGCACCAGTCGTAAATCCATATACTGATTCTGTTGTGGCCTTGGGGGCAGCGGTGGTGAGTTGACTAGATCCTCTTCCGGTTTTAGATCTTGTAGTTAGATCTTGTAGTGCATCATACTTGGCATTTTCACCTGAATTAACATACATCCTGTTTGAGGTTTCCTCGAGAGAATTATAGGTCTCTTCATCTGTTAAAATAAAACGTGTTGGTCAAAATTTAGAATGAAATTACTAAGAAACAAAACTAAAGTAAAGTGAAACAAAACTAAAGTTACCGTGAAAATATTGGAATTCAGCTCACTAACATTCATCGGAAAACTACACGAAACAAATTACTAACTCTACTTACCATCGGCTGATGAATCTACTTGCTCTTTGCGGTCCCTGGTAATGAAAATTTAGAAAAAGATATGTATTAATATTTTCATGTAACAAACAGTTTTTTTTAACCCTTAAATGCATACCGATACAAATCTGCAACATACCAGTTACCTTCCCATAAAATATTAGCCTAAACATGTTTTATTCTGTGCATCACGTTGTTTGACTGCTACAATGTTAACCTACAGCTTGCGCATGTCTAAGTGACCTAGATTTGTTTTACCGCCAAGCCGATCTCAAATTTGTGCATGTTCACAAGGTTTTTTTTATCAGCATTTTTAGTTGGCGTTTCAAAGTTCATCAAAGTCAAATAAACTGGTTTTGGAATTTCAAAAAATATGTTTCTGACAACCTAAGGTATGTATTACATATTGTATGTGTTGTTTTGAAAATCAATTCATAATTTATTTTAAAATCTTCACAAAACTTAGGTTGCAGTGCTGCAACGTTATGCAAATTGACCTACTTCTGCACTATTTTTTTTTACTTTATACATCAGCATTGGTGATTATATAGTACCTTGTTTTTCTTCTAGTTTCAGCATAATCATTAAGAAATCAATGTGAATCAAGGTGAAGAACAATATGAAGTAGATGCTCTTGGTAATCCAGAGTATCTTCCTGGATCTCCTTGACCAGTGTGGACCCTGGATCTCCTGGACCAGTGTGGACCCTAGATATCCTGGACCAGTGTGGACTCTAGATATCCTGGACCAGTGTGGACCGTATATATCCTGGACAAGTTTGGACCCTACATCTCCTGGACCAGTGTGGACCGTATATATCCTGGACAAGTTTGGACCCTAGATCTCCTGGACCACTGTAGACCCTACATATCCTGGACCAGTATGGACCCTAGATATTCTGGACCAGTGTGGACCCTAGATACCCTGGACCAGTGTGAACCCTAGATATCCTGGACCAGTTTGGACCCTAGATATTCTGGACCAGTGTGGACCCTGGATATCCTGGACCAGTGTGGACAATGGATCTCCTGAACCACTGTGGACCCTAGATACCCTGGACCAGTGTGGACCCTGGATATCCTGGACCAGTGTGGACCCTAGATATCCTGGACCAGTGTGGACCCTAGATATTCTGGACCAGTGTGGACCCTGGGTATCCTGGACCAGTGTGGACCCTGGATCTCATGGACCAGTGTGGACCCTAGATACCCTGGACCAGTGTGGACCCTGTATATCCTTGACCAGTGTGGACCCTGGATCTCATGGACCAGTGTGGACCCTGGATCTCTAGGACCAGAATGGACCCTGGATCTCCTGGACCAGTGTGGACCCTGGATAAGTGTGGACCCTGGATCTCATGGACCAGTGTGGACCCTGGATAAGTGTGGACCCTGGATCTCTAGGACCAGAATGGACCCTGGATCTCCTGGACCAGTGTGGACCCTGGATCTCCTGGACCAGTGTGGACCCTGGATCTCTAGGACCAGAATGGACCCTGGATAAGTGTGGACCCTGGATAAGTGTGGACCCTGGATCTCTAGGACCAGAATGGACCCTGGATCTCCTGGACCTGAGTGGACACTAAGTCTCGTGGAATAGTGCAGTGACAGGTGCAAATTCACATCAAGCTCAAACAGTTTGCCACAAGTGCAACATATATCTTTGTTGTAACAAGATCAACAACTGTCTTAAAAAGTATCACCTTACTACATGATGTTGCAGACATGCAACATTTCGGATTTTAATTAAAGAACATGTTTAAACTAAAAATATTTTTTTACTTGACTATACTCTTCATATACCCACCAAAACAATATAAAAATATTTTTTTCAATCATTATTAAAAAGTCATGCATTTAAGGGTTAAGTTAACTAAACGTTAACACATTTAAAAACGTGTATGCTGTTTTCTAACTAAAACCATTTTGTAAAAAACAGAAATTTGAATATATATATATATATATATATATATATATATATATATATATATATATATATATATATATATATATATATATATATATATATATATACATAAATAGAGAGAGAAATAGAGAGAGAAAGAGAGAGAGAGAGAAAAAGAGAGAAAAAGAGACATATACTATATGCCCATTTTGTATTTATAGAGATCTTATTAAAACAAGTATTTCAGAACTGTTTAATTAGGATGTAAATCGATTTTACCTTGTATTTTGTTTCATTGCTGCATTCCATTTAATTACTTTTTTATAAATCAAGATACTAACAACAACAAGAAGAACAACAAACACAAGGGATCCAACTGTAGCACCTGTTATCATCCCAATGTTGAGTTCAGCTGAAATTATTTCAACAAAGTATTTACAATTCATATAATATTTAAATAAAAGTGTCCTCTTTTTTTATCTCCAAGGAAAAGCCTGGCCGCACGGTAGATATTAAGATTTCTAACCTAAAGTATTGAGTTCGTATTCAAGGTAAGTGCTCGACACTGATATCAAACAGAAGTGGTAAGTATCTGGATCACGATAGGGAAAATGAAGGCGATTTTGCCCCTGAATGCTAACGGATTACAATACCACAATGGTGTCTGTGATGACGCAAGGTTGCGTCGAGCTCAGGTAGATAGCAGAAGCAGGCTATAGCAAGTTGGTCAGACTAGTCAGAGAGAGAGACCAATAAAAATACGTGAACTGACCGGTCACGTGGGACGGTCAGCTGACCACTGAAGCGTGGGCCACTGTTAGGCCGAGAGATCATGATTAGCTAGCGAGGGCAGAAGGTGTTAGGTTGTAGAATGGAACAGACGTAGTTATGTAGAGAACAGTTAGAATGTAGATAGTGGTAGGATTGGTCATGGAAGGGCGTGTTAGTAGAGTTAGTAATAGTAGTGGTAGTAGAAATTATTTAACAGGCTAGTTAGGTAGAAACTTGATTTTTATAATTTTAATAAAGAACTTTGTATTTGGAACTTGAACTGTGTGTTATTTGATTCATTCGTTCCGCCTTCTTAAAAATCCCCACCCTCACAGTGTCCCCTACTTTGTTTTAAACATCAAATATAATTAGCCACTGTATCTCTAGTATAGGTTCCTTTTTAAAATGAATGTAGCGTTATACGAACGTTAATTCTCCTGAAGATTCCACTGATGCAGTTTTACCTATAAATCATGTACCCGTATCACCCTTGCAAGATGCCCTATCAACGGACATCAGGGGTGAAAATAATCACTAAAAGGCTTAGTGCGCCCAACAGCACAGTACCTGCGGGTTTCGGCTCTTATTGTGTCAGAATGTTATTATGTCAGAAAACCCTAACAGAAGATTTCTAAAAAAAAACTCAACTCAGTTTCCTGAAGATTTTATAAAGATGTAATCAGGTCTAAAAATGAGCATATATTTTTGTATCTATAAATATATGAATGAAAATAGCACATTTATAAACCTACCCGATGATTTTGCTGTTTTAAAACTACCTTCTACTTCAGCACTTTCATCACCAACAGAATTAACTGCTTTAATGATATAGCTGTATTCAGTATCTGCTTGAATATCCGATATATTTAATTCAGGGGAGGTCACTGTAATATTCCGTAACTGTTGTTTCGATTTCAAAGAAAACTTGTAGTAATCTACCCTCCCTTCTGATGGTTGAAATCTTATGATGTAAGGTGGTTTATCGAGTTTACTGGCTGTGGTATTCACTGGTCCTGGTTGGGCTGGGACTAAATTAAAAAGAAATAAACATCGCGCTATTGAAAATAATTAAAGACAAAAATAAATAGTTAATTATAGTAAAGCCTAATATTGAATGTAGATCTTTGATGGCAAAGCTACTCACGGGTAACTATGTTTACATTAGTGCTGATGTTCTTAGCAGGATAAAATCCCTGTGGCTGAAAGATCGTGTAGACTGTGATTGTGTAGCTGGTACCTGGTGTTAAACCAGTCACTGTCACACCGCTCTCATTGGCGGCTTGTGTTCCTCTATCTGTTTTATCACTGGCCGACACCCACGAAACACTGTACGTTATATTGGGTCCTTGTTTAGAGCCTTGCCATTGTAGCTCAACTCCAGTTGTGTTCTTGTTCTTGGCTTGTGGGCGTTGTATAAAAAACTTTGAGGCTGACAGGAGGGTTGTGAGATAAAATAGCATAACTTTACGAAAAAAAATCAATTAAGATGTAATAATCTAGTTAGCTAAAAATCAATAATGATTTTAATATCTTTATGAAGAAAGCAGCCTGGTCTAAGTAATATACAGCCATCTTTTTCCTTACGGCAATACTATTCATACATAAATATACTTGAGTTTATTGTAAAATTATTATTTAAAATTATTATTTGTTTCTTAGAAGAGCAATAAATTTAATTAACCACTGTCAAGTCAATTAAAATAACAGAAGTTGATAATTTTAAATTCATATGCACATTTTTTTCCAAATTATATTTATGGATATATTTTAAAAATCACATTTAAAAACGGATGTAAAAGCCAGTTAAACGAAAACTTACAAGAAACACATGTGTTGTCTTCCAATGTAAAAGTTTCCATACACAAACATCGAGGTTTTCCATTGACATCAGGCAGACAATCCAAATATTTGCTTGACTTACACATATCACTTACACTAATGTTGCAATCCACATTGTGATCTAGTGCTGCAAAATTTTGAATATTTAATAGTTTACTCTTTAATCAACAGCTATGATATTTTGTGTATTTTTTTCCTTTAGCACAAACAATTGCAAATTAGTATCGAGAAAAAAAAAGTCTGACGCAATATTCTAAGAGGTTT